AGACACATGAGATAACCAAGTATGAACAAAATACACTCATGGACAAAACTTAAGGAAGTTGTACCTTTTAGCATGTATATCGGGATTTAGACAATAACTCTGAAATATATTACAGTGACCTTTATTGAAGACACACGAGATAACCAATGTGAACAAATTGCCTCTGTCTTCTTCTTCTTCATAAAAAAAAATAAAAAATAAAAATAAAAAAGACAGACGACCAACGACATCAAAATAATAAAACATCTTAAGTTTAATCCATGAATGTATTTATCTAAACAAATATACTAGGCTTGTTTGAATGCGTTTTTATAGCGATTTTAAAAATAACTTTTTACAAACCCATCAAGAAAAAGGTTTTGGGACATAAAAACGGTCAGTTATTTTAGTGATTATTTTATAATATTATATATATTTATGCTTTAGAATGATGGTTGTTTAAAATTTAGATATTGAGAAAATGCTGCATTCAATCATAGTTCGCAAATGCAGATTTTCAGTTCTCCCTATAGGCACATTCTTTTTATATATTTAGAATCGTCTGACAAGTTGCACCCGGCAGCAATGATCGTCTGGTCGTTTATTTTTAACCCTACTTCCCGCTTTTTTCTTATCGACTGCTTGATTTTTATCATGGTCGTTTGTTTTGTAAGTTAATTGATATTTGTAACTTTGATATGTTTATAATGTTTCATTATCTTTTCTTATGATGATGTAAATATGTAATTTTTGACTATTTACTTTCATTTATTTTTAGATGAGGTGGGTTGTACCAGGTAACTTCTCGTCTGTAAAACAAAAAGGAAATATGTAATTAAAATGAAGTTGACGGTAGTAAATTAGATGGGGTGTGCCATTAATAATGTATGCAACTTGTTTTCCTTATCATGTACATATTACTAGATGAGAATTTTGTACATGTCGTTTGTGATTATTATCGTAGTTTTTACTTGAGTGTTTTGTGTTTTCTTTTGTAGTTGAGTGCTATTTTTAGTATTCTTTGAGTATGCTTGTTTAGTATACTTTTTCTTGATTTTTTTTTCTTCTAAAGATTCAAAGAGTAGGTTAATTAAAGCGTGTAATTATAATTTAGCTGTTTTAATTACTTTTTGTTGTTTTAAATATTTAGTGATGTTATACTGTTTGTGGTGAAAGGATATGAAAGAGTAGCTTAGTTTGAATTTAAATTAGTTTTTTGTTGTTTAGTTATACACTATTAGTTTTTTTTTAATTAGAGAATATAAGATCAAATTCATAATATAAATGTTCTAATAAAAGACTCAATTTGATATTTGAGGAAGAGCGATTGCTCGAAGCATATTATATATTTATAATTGTATGTTATTCTACTGTCCTCAAAGCTTATATCCATAGTTCATCTAAAATACCCATTCCAAGAGTCTAGCATCAGTATCACTATAAAAGGAAGTTCCAAAAATGCAATATAATAGCGGTATGGTAGATTAAACTAGCGAAACCGCTGGGAGGGTTCACCACTGATGAGCCAGACCCTCCCTTTAATTTTTCCATTGCAGTAAGGGCAGTAGAAATTGTTTAATTTCAAAAAGAATCTTACGCGTCTTAAATAGTTTCGAATTTTCAAATTCATATGTTGGTGCTGTCTTGGAACTTAATCATTGTTTCTTTGATTGTTCCAAAGATGTTGTTTGATGGCCTGGATACAATCAAGATGTTAGGAAACTGACAATATCTGTTTAGTACTTGGTATGGAATGTCTTAATGTTGTCTATATAAATTTGAGATGTCCACTCTTGATTCTTGTAAGTGTAGACTGTTCTTTCTATTTTGAATATTATGATTATTGTTAATTGTTCCAAATTGTGATCTTGTTAAAGAGTTTCTGTATTTTGAGGTGTTGCAAGCTTTCGAGTAAATTTTGTTCTTCAACAGGGAAATAATAATAAATAGGACAACAAAATGATCCTTTTACATAAAGAAATGTTCTTGGCGTGCGCGGGCGTACATAAGACTATATTACACAGTATAATATTAAAATAGATTATAAAATAGGGTGATTATATATAACTGAAACATAGAAAAAAATAAAGAGAAATATAATGTGAGTAAGATAAATTTATATAATTATTTTTGAGGTGAATATTCTGAATGTATCAATAAGTTTTGAAAATAGAGCAATCCATAAATAAATATTTAATTGCAAAAAGCATATATTGGATCAAAATATCATGATATTTTGATCCAATATATGCCTTTTTAATTAAAGTATCAATAAATATTGAATTGTTTTAACAGCAAGATTTAACAACGGAACTAAACATTTAATTCGGCTTTGACACGTCATGAGCTTGTTCAAAATACATCTGGGGTATATATATATGTTAAAAATAATGAAGGTATATCCTGATCAAAAGTACATGTGCTTTTTAGATGGCAGAGCACCATCTAGTGGAACAGAAATCAACTAAACATTGATTTTAACTGTTCCCTGATATTTGGCCGACCCATTTTCATGATAAATCAAGAAAAGCCATCCACGAACGCGTTTCGCGCTATTGGTGCTCGTCAGCGTGATAATTTATCATTAGATATGTTTTATAAGTGTCTCTTTCTATAAATCCTGTTTAAGTCTAGAATTTGTGTTTGTTGTTGTTGTTATCGTGTCCAAAGAAGAGTCTCAGATGTCTCCATGCATCTCCATCACAGCAGCAGCAATGTTCACTATCTTGGGTGTGTAAAGCTGCTGCTCTGGGTCCATGTCAATTTTCTGCAAGGCTGCGGCCATTACTAGGCATGAGAATATGGAGTAGGTGTGAGTTCCACACCAGGACAGTTGTTGCATGTCCTATAGGTTCTTGTGCCATCTGGATGTATTGTCATTCCTTTATAGTGTTTTGTTCTAAGTCTTGTTATAGTTTTTGTCAGTTTTCTCTCAAAGTTTATTTCACATATTTGATCTTTTCAAGTCTAGAATTTGTGTTTGATGATCTTACAATTTGAAATACAAGTAAAATATTTCTTTAGGATTGGTTAGAATCTATATACATGAGATTTTGAAGAATTTAGGTCACTGTAGCTATTGCATAACATGAGGTTCAAATGAGGTTTACTGAGCTAGAATGTCCTGCGAGGCTATTTCTGAAATCCAGGCGTGACTGGCAATTGGCACCCAGGCTAAACGACCTATTGTGCTTAGACCTCCTCTTCCATTGTAAGATCAGTGACATTTGACTGCTGACCTCTCCGTTCTTTCTTCTATTTAATCTTGGTAGAGTTGAAGGGTCATCATTTTATAGATCTTCTGTATTGATAAATGGTCGGGATGTTTGTGTCTTGGTTGACTTTGTTGTTGTTGTTTCTGAGTCTGTGGGAATCAAAAGACAAAGGTCGCTTCTCCCGTCAATTTTTTTTTTTTTTTTGCGTTAGATGTGAATCTCCTGTGGAAATTTAGGGAAGACCAACTTCGGGATGAGACAACATTATATTTCAGGCAAGAACAAACTATGAATGATAAACAAAAGATAAGCGAAGAGAGAGGTGTACAGAGTAGCAAAATATAAACATAAAAAATGATACTCTGCTAATAAAAAAAAATATATATCTATTACTTTAGCTGGTAACAGTCTGATGCACGCCCGCGAGAGCACATGCTAATAACAAAAGTTTTCAATTATTCTGTATAAATATTATTTAGAGATTGTACATAGAATATCAGCCCGTTGAAGAGCAGTATATTTTGCTCGAAAGCTTGCAAATTTAAATTAAAAGAAACTTTTTACCTGATATTTATTTTTACTTTTTCAAATAAAATAATAAATATTTTGGTAAAATATGAATTAAATAAGGCAAAAAGTTTCTGGAGATAAGTTTCTTTTCATTTTTATTGTAATCTTTCGGGTTTTTCCGCCCAGGAGTACGAAAATTAACAATATTTCATTTATGTTTCTTCTTCTATACATACGAGTATACCAATAAAAGCTTCGTTTGGTTACTTAAAAAAAAAGTAGGTGGACGAGTAGGTAACACCCTCGGTTCCCGACAGTCATGAACCGGGATTGAATCCCGCGTTAAAAATTGTTTAATATGTGAATAACCTTCACATATTATTCATTGTTCAATTATCATGAACTAGGTTGCTCTTGCTGAGCGGTACCTATTTATGTGAATTTGAACCAGGTTACTTTTACTAACTGGTGAGGTTTGACTTTTGCATTTCAAGAATCAGGTGTCTTTAAAGAGATTTTTTAATTAGAAAAAAAAAGGGTCCGAAGAGTGGGAATCGATCCCTGATCATATCTGTCGAAAAGGGATGGTGAAAGTGAAGCCAGGAAAGTTGCGCGACTATCTATAGAAAGTCCCCTCGACCTCGATCTGTGTGGGTCACATCTCTGCCTGTCTCTCCCTGCCATGGATTGTGACCCTGTAAGTACACTACAGGCTTGCATGACACTTACAAGGAATACCCCTCAACCATAGTATTATCCATAGATAGCATTAATATGTACAAATATTTCCTTTCAGATGAGAAACTATAGGCATTTGTCAAAAGTTTAAATAAATATACAGTTAAACCTGTCTATAGCGCCCCCTCTAAATAACGCCTTCCTCTCTATAGCGCCCGATTTTAAACATTAAAATGTAAACGTTTTACATTAAAAGTGACCTATCTATAGCACATCCTCTCTATAGCATTCTGTTTTGGTGAGTCCCAAAAGAGGGCGCTATAGATAGGTTTAACTGTATTCAAAATGAAAACAAAAAAAGATAAGAAAATAAATAGAAAATATAGTTTGTAAACTATATTGCAGAGGAGACGACATATTAAAGGAATTCATTTAAAGTACCTCATTAAATATATTTCTAGTTTTATATATACGTGGGTTCAACTTTACATGTATGCTATCCAAAGTTCGTACACGTGAAAAAGCCACAAAGAGCTGTACATGCGTAAACACAGGCTCTTTTATGATGAAGTTTGAAAGTATGAAATGTGAAGAGCAATGATAAACGGAAAAATAAAGTGTCCAGGGATGGGAATCGAACCCACAGTGTTCCGCTTACCGGGCAGATGCCATGTCCACTAGCCTTACCCAACACAGGCGCTTGTAGCAAGAGACCCACTCAAGAAAAGGTTTGGCCTTGGGCCTTATAGTCATAGCAAAAGCCAAACTTAGTGGAAACTGATGCCTCTTCAGAATGAAGGGAAGGTTGATATCTGAAAGATTTAAAAGACTGACTGTGGTATGATAAAAAGACATAGGGAGACCCTGAAAGCATTAAATTCATAGTTCTTAAATAGGAGACACTTCGGCAAAAAAGGCTGAGAAAAGAGAAAACCTTTTCTAGCCGAAATTTCTCTTATTTATCTTAGCTCTGATAGGTTAAGCGGCCAAAACTGCAGGTTTTGTTATTCAATTAATATGCAAATACATATTAACTGAATATTAACATTAGGTGTAATATGCAAAATTCAGCTAAAATATATGTATGTATCTAACGGCGTTTTTACGGTAGAAATGTAATAGATGTGAATATCCTGTATATGAATTAAATAATTTAACATGTTTCTTTTTATGTTTTTTACAATCTCAAGCTTTCATACATTACCACCCTTTTACAGGAGTACAAAAATGAACAATAATAAATTGCCGTTAGATAATGATGTTTCATTTTTGTACTCCTTTTGAAAGGCGGTAATATGACCGAATGATTTGAGATTGCAATAAAAAAAATGAAAAGAAACTTATCTCCAGAAACCTATTGCATCATTCAATTCTCCAATTATAAGCTAGACCTTCCAAATATTAAATTTGCATAACAGTAGAACATGTTCCGTAAATAGCGGGGAAAAAAGCTTACAATATTGATAGACTCCAGAAATATTGACCTTTTTAGGAGATTTTTTTACCTGAACCCAATTCCAAATTGTATAGGTCCTCGAGATAAAGGATTAGGTTGATCCATCTAACATATTTACATATATTTTATCCGGGTGCTATGTCAAATGGCTACTTTATTTGCATAATCATTTATCTTTACTGGTTTGGAAAGGTCGCTGTGATTTTTTTTCGCCTTCCAATTAGGTCCATGATATATTCATCAAGTTGGTGTTATGGTGTTTTTTTATATATAAATACAACGTTTGAACGGTGAAGGTTAGATCGTGAGTATCGTCTGAATAGATAATCTATGCAAATTAAAACTTTACTCTCTTTTTTTAGAGTGTCTAACAGGTTTGTTTATGAGTGATTTGTGATGTATTTTGTGTCTTATAGATAAACATATTTCTTTGTTGTTATTTTTGTTTTATTTTGATCCTGTGGAACGAAATTCGTTGACCTAAATGTTTAGGCTTCTGATTGAATAAAGTGTGAATATGTAGACCTATAAATTTGCATATTGTTTTAGAGGGTTTCTAGTTTATTTTTATGTTTCTTTTGAAATTCCTAGAAAGACTGAATATATTTCTTTTGAGTTTTTTCCCTGAATGATTAGTGGGGGGAAAAAAAAGCTAAAAATATGAAAGGTTTGACTTTCCTTAAAATTTCCTTCCCAAACCTGATGAACTAGGAAAATCTTCCAAAAGACGCAGCTCTTGGCTTGAATATACAATTTAAACTCTAAGAAAAAGGCATCTCCTTATCGTGCAACTGAAAGTTGCTGATGGCTTACGCCATCTATCTGAATAAATATAAACTATTCTCGTTGATTTTTAATTATTCCGAATTGAACAAATACCCATTCTTGATTAATCAAGAAAAGCTAACCACGGACGCGGTATTTGGCCAATTCCGGAATAATTAAAAATCAACGAGAATAGTTGATATTTATTCCGATAGATGGCGCAAGCCATCAGCAACTTTCAGTTCCCGATAAGGAGATGCCTTTTTCTTAATTTATGCACCTTATCCCAGTACAATATCACATTTGTACTATTTTTTCACAATTTAAACTCCATTTAAAAATAGTATAATTGTTTATTTTCTTTTTGACAATTCTGTTATACCTACTCTACTACAATTATTGTAAATAGTTTCACGCGCAATTATCCAGATCGGATATAGCGTGTCTTGTTTGCAAATGGTAATAAATTAAAAAAAAAGTGAAATTCTGTACTGGGATCAAATGATTAAATTAAAGAATAGGACATCTCCTTATTGTGAATTTGAAAGTTTTACTGATGATTTACCCCATTTATCGGAATAAATATCAATTAATTGTTTATTTTTAATTATTTTCCACAAATTGTGTACGATCAGAAGATGTATTTTCCTTAATTGTAAACCCATTTATAGGTTTTTAACTTTTAATTTATATTTAGACATTTTTCATTTAAATTTAGACATTTTTCATTTTAATTTAGACACTTTCATTTTTATTTAGACATTTTCAATTTTAATTTAGACATTTTCAATTTTGATTTAGACATTTTTCATTTTAATTTAGGCATTTTTCATTATAATTTAGGCATTTTAAATTTAAATTTAGACATTTTCAATTTTAATTTAGACATTTTTCATTTAAATTTAGACACATGGACTTTTCTATAAAAAGCCCATGTGTCTAAAATGAAAAATGTCTAAATTTAAATGAAAAATGTCTAAATTAAAATTAAAAATGTCTAGATTTAAATGAAAAATGCCTAAATTAAAATTTAAAATGTCTAAATTTAAATGAAAAATGTCTAAATATAAATTTAAATTTTCTAATTAAAAGTTAATAAATTGTAGCTGATTATTTATTATTCTATGAAAATATATTTTTAATTTCGATATTTGTATTTTGATATACTATAAATTTTCTTATTACCTTTATTCTATTTTATTAGGTTTAATTTGGTTTTACAATTAAATCAATTCTGAAATTTGTCTTTCCTAATTTTCTTACATTACAGTATTATAAATCAGACGACTTTTTCGTTCAACGACCGCTAGCTAAGCCTTCTTCTAAAGTTCTACCGTGATGTTTATTATCATTATATCTGCATCATTAGCATAGTCATTATTATCAGTGTGTTAATGATATCCTCATTAATTATTATAATTAGCATTATTATTTTAATTGTCTTTATAATACGAATGATGTCCCGACTCGAAATTTGTCCGCGCGAGTGTTTGATCAACCAATATAGTGTATTTATTTATTTATTTATTTATTTCAATTCAAAACGCTATGTCCCCCTAGGGACACTTGCGCTAAATGTACATACAAATATAACAAATAAAATATTCAACATGGAAAGATACACAGAAAGCGATTTAGAAAGATTCATAAATATTATTTACATATAGAGATATTCTTTTAATTTTATTCACAGTTACATCATTAAATTAAAAAACATATACATATATACACACATATACACGCATACACCTATATATTACTGATGTTGTATACTGTGTGTTGTATCAACTCTTAGGATTATGATATATTACAATCAGTATCACTATTATTATTATTATTATTATTATTATTATCTTTCCTTAAGTTTTGGCCTCTCCTACTACTCCACCATAATTATCATGGTCTGTATCACATGTGTACTAGGGATAATAATAACTTCATTTTTCAAAAAGGGTATAAGTTTTTTTCTCTCTAAAAAAGTGTATCGAATGGTCAGTCTATTTACATATTTTTATTTATATAAACCTTAAAATTTCAAAATGGACACAAAAACCTTCAATAATTGCTTGAAATACAATAGTACTTCTCCGGAACATATCATGCTCAGAACTGACAATAGAGGACCCCAGGCCTATAACTACCATGGCAAAATTGGAGAGGACTTCAGGAATTGGTTTAACCATGGAGATAAGCACCACCACATATTTTTATTTTTAATATTTTAATAATAACTGTAAAAGTAAACAAAGATATTTACATTTGCTATCTTGACTCCTGGTCAGTGCTGTGACCCTGATGTCCTGCAGCAGTCTTTCTATGACTGGTGGTTCCTTGATAAAATGGTCTCCTTGATCCATTCTTGTCTGTCTCCTGTCATCTGCTCTAGGTCGTTCTCCTGGATCTTAATAATAAACACATGGTAAACAGGCCATGATAACTATAATAGGTTGTTAGCGACGGTTTCACATGTAACAGAACTGTATCATCGGGTCTTTTGAGTCAGTTTCCACTTGGGACGATTTGGGCCAAGTCTTCAGAGTCCCAGCCGAGCTAGTCTTCTAATCAACTACATCTAGATCGCAGTTTTGGGTTTTTATACTCACAATGTGCCAGAGTCCTGTTTGGTTACTTACACCTATTGATACGGATTGGGCATGTACAAGAATGGAGGACTTACGAAGCATTTTGTTGTTGCTGTTGTTCAGATAAAAGATGTACAAAGTGAGATTCGACCCTGGAGATGTAATTATAGATAATTCGACAGTGTGTCCCAACTTCCTCTCTCTTAAAGGCTGGCTGAGTACAAGCTGTTGTATCGCACCAGACTTGTCAAATGTTTGGGTTTTTTTTTTTGTTTTGCTCGCCACCATCTTGTTTATACTTCTGGCTTTCTGGAACACCTTAGTTTTGTTGTTGTTCCGTTTTAGAAGTCTCATTTATCCCCTCTCTCTATTCTTTTTTTTTTTTCTTTCTTTACCGAGTATTTCATTTATCTTCCCCCCTCTCTTCCTGGAGTGAACATGTGGAATACGCCTCTACTGAGAGGGCCTGACTCATCAGTAATAAACCCTTCCAGCGGTTCAGCCTGTTTAAACCTTTATTTCCCCCCTCTATTCTTTTTTATCCTCCTTCTTTACCGAGTATTTCGCTTATCTTTCCCCCTCTCTTCCTTGGAGTGAACATGTGGAATACGCCTCTACTGAGATGGCCTGGCTCACTAGTAATAAATCCTTCCAGCGGTTCAGCCTGTTTAAACCTTTATTTCCCCCCTCTATTCTTTTTTTATCCTCCTTCTTTACCGAGTATTCCGGTTCTTTTCCCCCCTTCTTCCTTGAATGAACATGTGAAATACGCCTCTACTAACAGGGCCTGGCTCAACAGTGATAAACCCTTCCAGCGGTTCAGCCTGTTTAAACCTTTATTTCCCCCCTCTATTCTTTTTTATCCTCTTTCTTTACCGAGTATTTCGTTTA